CCCACAATGTCACTGCTTAAGCGCCGCAGCTAACAGACATCGCTTCAGCCTCAATTGGGCTTAACAAAGTGTTGCGGGTGTAACTGCACGCCCGCTAACTTTTGCTTGCTTGTCTTCTTTTTTGGAGCAAAATAAAAAAAACCCAACAAACGAACTTGTCAGATCTCTTTTGAGAGCCCGTGCCCTGGGGCTCGTGGAAGAATATTTATCAACGCGGCCTCGCAAATGTGACTCTACAGCGTGAGGCCTGCGGCCGCGTCATATTGACTCTCTGGGGATGCCCGTGTCCAGGGTGCTGAGTCGGCAATTTTGGGGCCGTGAGTTCCAAGCCCTGAGGCGGACACCGAGAAGACCATAACACGGGGTCTGGGGAGACGCTCGTGTGTGCGTCAGATCCTCTCCCGCCTGCCAGTGACGACTGCACAAAAGTCTGTTTGTCTTTACAACTGAGGGGTGAAAAGGAAAGGAAGCATTTGGACCTCTCCGTTGTGTCCTCGGGTTCTACCGTTACGCGTTGCTTGGCAACGATGTCCGACGTTTCGCTGCTCGTCATTGGAGCCACAGTGTTTTTTGAAGTTCCCGTGAAAGCTCCCCAGCACATGGAAGTGAAATGTCGGACATGGTGCCGAAGAGCACAGCCCGGAGAAAACACATGAAGTTGAGGAGATGTTTTTTTTTTTATCTGGGGTTCGTAGTTAGCAGCTTTGACCGTCACAAGCAATTAAAAGGTTATATAAAGTATATTTAAAATCACATTAAAAGAGAAAAAAACAAAGGTCCTTATTTTCTCATTAGGCACAAAAGTTCACAATTGCCTTTGGCAACTTTTGCGGTTAGGCCTTGGTAGGAACGCACGGCTGCGTGTTAATTAGCAGCGTTTGAGCAGCGCGGTGCTTCATCCTCGCCGGAGAAAAGCCAGAATGTCCCGGCAGCGATCATCGCTGGCTGAGAAGCATAAATACAAAGCGGCTGCGGACGATACAGAGAAAGTAATATCTATTCTCAGGGTGCCTACGATTCCAGCTGCCTGAGCTCGGGTGACTTGGGCACGTGGCCAGCACTTGCTTGGGCATCGGACACATTCATCACCAAGCAGCTCTGGGGGACAGGGTCAATGTGGTCGCATTTTTACCCCCCCCCCCCCCAAGTTGAACGAATTTTTTTTCCGGGTTTAGTCCTCGGTGGCCATTGGGATATCGATCGTCTCGTTAAAGATTACGAGGGGAGATGAAATATGAGGCGCGCATGTAGATCAAGGAGGTAGCGATTGCTCCCCTGTTGTGTGAGGAAGACTCATACGTTGGCACTCGTGCCAGGGTGAGGGTAACGTTAACAACCTCGTTTAAAAAAATACGGAAATAAGTTGTCGGTGGACAGATTACGCTTCTCAAATTGGAAAAATTGGAAACTGCGCGGCTAAAGGCGCCGATACCGAGCGAGTGAAAAATGCACAAGGATATCACGGACTTGGGAAGCAGCGTTTAGGGAGAGTGTTTAGTGCGAGACCAGGAGCAGTGGGAAAGAGAACGGGATGGGAGAGCATAAGTAATGAAGACATTAGAAAACAATTATGGGCTGATGCTATTTATACAAAACAGCGGCTTCAAGCTAGATTAGGGTGGCGCGGACATGTGCGTGGGAAAGGGTGGCGAATTCCCTCGGGCGAGGCTACGAATTTCCAAGGCATTCGAGGATGAGCCACATCGATGCTGGAGTACAGTCTGCGTCTGTTAGACGCTCTCCGTGAGCTCCCGGGTCGACTGCAGTGGCAGCAGCTGCCACGGTGACGAACATCTTCACAAAGATCGACATCGTTGGTGCGTCGCTCGTGTGATTCGAGATGCGAACACGTTTGGCGACGACGGTGGAGGCGAACGAGAGCGAGGTGGAAATAACAGGTCTTGATTTTAAATATATATGATAATTTTTATTTTTTATTTTGACAAGACCCCGGTACAAAGCGCGAGCAATAAAAAATTAACCCGTAAAAACAAAGCTTTTCACTATAAATCCTTTATATGCGTGGCGGCTAGAGTCCTCTCGTCCTCTGGCTTGAGATGGCTGACACCTATGGGTCAGACGATTGCCTGCCACCATTAAGCAATTGGTAATTAAATATAATATTTTTGTCCCAAAAAGTGTAAAATTTAGGAAAAAAAATTTCACGAACATTAATTGTCACGCACAACGAGTCTGTGTGGAAAATGTCAGCTCGATTGGATCACGGGAAGTGGGTAAAAAACGACCGAAAGATTTGCACGGTCGTAAGCAAGCAAGCACGCAAGCAAGCACGCGAACTTAATATAAAGGATTTAAAAGGGGACGACGCACAGGAATTCGGCGGGCAAAAGCCCGAAGCGCGGTGCTCACAGGGCAGGTGAAAGGGAGAAAGCTTCTCGCCTGGTGCAGGGACAGTGGGCTGGAGTGTGGGATTGTTTAAGCGGGAGGGAAGGCACGCGGAAGGGGAGAAAAGCTTCGAGTTAATAACAAGTATAACCCGTAAAAACAAAGTTTTTCACTCTAAATCCTTTATATGCGTGGCGGCTAGAGTCCTCTCGTCCTCTGGCTTGAGATGGCTGCCACCTATGGGTCAGATGATTGTCTGCAGTATTAAACAATTGGTAATTAAATATTTAATTTGTTTTCCCTAAACAGTGTAAAATTTTGGACATTTTTTTTCACGAACATTAATTGTCTCGCACAACGAGTCTGTGTGCAAAATGTCAGCTCGATTGGATCACGGGAAGTGGGTTAAAAAACGACCGAAAGGTTTACAAGGTCGTAAGCAAGCAAGCAAGCACGCAAGCAAGCGAACTTAATATAAAGGATTTAAAAAGGGGTACTCTATTGTTAATATAGAGGCGGGGCAAAATAGACTTGACTTTGACTGACCTTGAGATAAATACAAATTCGAATTGGAACCATTAGTGGGATGTTAGTTAGGACCTGGCGGAGTCATTAGCTGCTGGAAGGTTACAGTTCAGCTAAGATGATGAAATATATTTTAAGCAAAAAAAAAACCGTGTAAACATTGCGACAGTGTTATTTATTTTGGAGCTAAATGTCAGGCCAAACAAGCGTCGGCGTCGACTCACAAGCAAGCAAATTACACATGCTGACATCTCACTTTGAGTCTTGTGCACAATTATCAGTTGTATTTTTAATGCACAATTATCAGCTACATTTTAATGCATATATGATATGTTGGTTTGAATTATTTTGGCTTCACAAAACGAGTTCTTGCTATAACACAGCAAGAGTGGAACAAGTAACGCATTTTTCGATTTAAAGCTTTCGTGACTGCAGGGATTCATATTCTTGGTTCTTTCGGTAAAGTCACGTAGAAGAGGAATAATAAAATAATCAAAATAAAACATAACAAAATAGAATTTTATTTTATTATGTTTTCTTTTTTTATTATGTTTTATTTTTCTTATTTTTAAAGTCACGTAGAAAATGAAATACTAAAATAATAAAAATAACGCATAATAACAGAATAAAACAAAATTTTATTTTAATAAAATAATAAAAAGGAAACATTGCATTTTATTTTATTATGTTTTCTTTTCATTATTTTATTTTAAAATGTTTTAATGTTTTCTTTTTATTATTTTATTATTTCCCTTCTACGTGACTTTACCGAAAGAATAAGTAACGCAATGTGACATTTTGAGAAAATAAAATGATAAACTTTTATTTACTGATGGATTCAAAACACGGCAGATATAAGTGTAAACATCATGTGCGTGACTTTTATCGCTGAAAATCGTCACCCAGGCAAAGAGAAGCAAAGCACAAGACACTTAAATTTGTATTCCCATACGACACAATTGAATATATTCATCAATTTGGTGAACGCACTGGAATGTTACTGGACTTGTAGTGATAAAAGTCCGGATCTAACACACTCCACCCCGCCCTTTGTGAGGCGTTCATGCAAAAAGACAATTTACGTGTCGAGCGCATGGAAGTGCCGGACAAAATTGAACAACTCGCGCGAATCGAGTCGGATATATTTCTATTCGACATTGCAAGCGTCCCATAGCGGCTCGTGAACTCGTAAGGATGTTCAGCTCCTGCCAGGCCATGTTAGTTATTATTATTAATGATGACAAGTATTATTATATCAGCACCGTTCCAAGTCTATAAAATTACGCGAAGAAATCTTAATATTGATGTATTGGTTCATTGATCATCACGATGGCAGTTATTGCCTGCTGCCAGTGTTGGCTCGATCTTTCTGTCTGTACCAAAACAGCATGAATGGATTGGCATAATATTAAACACAATAAACAGAACATCTTAACACTTTTCATGAAGTGTAAGGAAAAGGGAATTACTATATTTCCAATGTCCTAGGCAAAATCCGTTTCACATTGAGAGGCACTGTGCGCATTACCTCCCACTCTAATGTCAGCAAGACTCAAGAGGTGATGTCATGGACAACGTTGCTACGTGTGACCTTCCGAGCGTCACAATGCAACGCAATTTGGATTTATTTAGCCCACGGTTAGAGTTCAATACACACGAGGCGTAGGGTGAGCGTCTGCTGGCAACAGGCAGTTACCCTCCCACAGCGTGGAAACGGCCTAATGGGAAAGTATCAGGAATTCTTGTGCTCGCTCGTTCCTGCAGGTGATTAATTACTTTCCATCAATCGCGCCAGCGGGGCAGGGGTCCACGTGGGCTGCCGGGCAGATGGCCAGACGTCCTGGAAAGTCGGGGAAAAAAAGAAGCTGAGTAGGGGGGAGGAGGAGCAAGTGGGGGCGAGACGGAGGGTAGGGACACGGAGTGAGAAGTAAGGGAGGCTTACAGGGGGTGGTGATGGTGGGAGGTAGGGCCCGACAAAGGGGGGGGAGGAGCAGGGAGAGGAGGAGGATGGGGCGAGTTGGCTGGCTTTGAGAACAGCGGGGGAGGGAGGGCAGGAGGGAGGGAGAGGTGGATGGAGGGAGTAGGGGAGGCAGTCAGGGAGGGAGGGGAGGTAGTGTCGGATGCTCACAGCAGCGCAACACCGCGCACACGCGCACGCACGCACGCAGAGACACGCGCGCGCGCGCAGCGAGGGCTGATCGGCTCCGCGCCTGGGCTGTCTCCACCTCTCTCAGCAACCACCTTCACTCGGGAGCCAGTGGTGACATGTCCATCGGCGAGGCGGGGTGAATGCGTGGAGGGAGACGCACGCGGCGCTGGAGCTCTGCTCTGTAGGGGTCCGAGCCCCGGTAACAGATGACTGCGGTGGCTGCCGCTGCGAGCCGAGCGCTCAGCCTTCTCCGTGCATTCATCGGCACCCGCGGAGGCGATGGACTTGACCCAACATACTTTCGGGAGTGAGTGCGGAGTGCGGCAGAATGTTAGGGATCTGAGAAAAGATCGGCTCGTCTGTCGCACTTAAAGTCTCTTCGTCGTTGTTGTTGTTGTTGGGGAGCTTTTTTTGTTGTTGTTGGAAATCATCAACCAGACGACAAATATTAAATAAAGCAAATGAAGGGAGAGACCACAACGTGTGGATCAGAATAGTCAGTTAATTTAATAAAAGTGATTATAATTGTAGGTGTCGCCATTGTGGTGTGGTGGTTGGGGGGGGATGATGTAATTAATTGCACGGATGAGTTATCTAGCAATCGCTCTATGCTAGGATGTGATAATTAGCGTCTGGCTCTACCCACACCTGCCGTGCTGCGCTCCCCACACCGTCACCGTGGTGCCACCGTTCGCCGGCCCGGCTCTGGCTGCCTGTGTCTCCTCCCCGGCTCGCTCCACTGGGCCATGAGTGCGCTCCCGAAGAGCCTGCAGCAGCAGCAGCAGCAGCACGCGGACCGGCCACTCTCACTGCCTGTCCCTGCCTGGGTGAGTGCCCACTCCTTGTCACCTCTCTCCTGCCAGACTCTGTCCCTCTCTCCCCTGCCACCGCGGTCCCTGTCTGCCTCGGGCCAGGCTATTCTGGCTGTGAGCTGCCATTCAAATCCTCGTGGGGAACTGTCCAGTGCTGAAATTCTAGAAATGCGGCTCCGTGGTGCATGGGGATTATATGAGAAGAGTGTTGTGTGTTTGGAGTTGACTACGGAGCACCGACCGAAATGGCAATTTCTGGTGGTGCACTCAGCTATGGGATTGCATTTCATGAACATGACAGATTACGCATTTTGTGCTAAATGGGCCTAAGAGCTTAAGTCGACATGTTCCCATTAACATATGGCAAGACAGCAGCATTTGTTTAGCAGGTCGATCTCTGATGATGATATTGTTGCAATCAGTTCAGAGTTTTCCTGCCTCAACAAAATACTGCGGATGAATATATTTGTTCTGACAAGCCTCATCGCCTGCTAGACTGAAAACATTTTATTTTTATGCTGACAGATGAACTCTCTTTTTCCTGTCTTTGTTTATCAGGTAGTTTAGCAGGTGAGAGTCCATTGAGACCAAATAAGTTGGGTAAAGAAAATCCATAAATAATAACAGAGTTAGTGGAGCAACACGCCATGGTAACATAAACTCTACGCCGTGCATTTGGTGCCCAGCACAAAGTGTCGACAGAGGAGGAGGAGGCTGGCGATGAGTGGAGAGTTGCGATGACACCGAATGTATTATTGAAGGAGATATTTTGCTCTTTAAATGCATTGCGCAGTGATCATACGTGCCTTTTCATGGACTGACATCAATTGCCCGTTTTGTTTGTAAATGAATAGGCTGTGAGCAAATTCATCGTCTTTTAGTCGCTAAACAAATGGCTTATTACAAACAGTACTTTATAAACTAATTGGCCACGAGTTCCAAGCTTCTGTGTCATTGGGGGGGGGGGGGGGGGCGTTGGGTCCGTGTCTGTAGCAGCCACGGAACTCTGTGCAGTTACAGGTTTTAGAAATCCGTCAAAACCCGCAGCATTTATCCCCCAAATGCAGCACAGACAGCGCCGGGGCAGACGGGAGTGGCGGTACAAAGCAGGCCATTACATAATTGCACGCGCCCTTGTTAATGGCTAATGCATTTGGTTTTAATCCAAAGTACACAGCCGCTGCTGCGTTACAAGTATTGCTGTTTGATAGTCTCCCGTACGCGCAGTGAGCAACATCGCTTTGCGGACTGCTGATGCCAGACGAATGACGGGTTATATAAATATATGCGTGACGGTGATAGTCGATGCGTCGGTGTCTGTGAGCGTATCTGGCAGTCATGTAAATGTATGACGTGGACATTTGTGGAGCCCTCGGTAGTTTTTGTTGTTGTAAGGAAGACCCCCCCACCCCCCCACCCCCCGCCGCGGGTGACATGGGGCATCGCATCTTGATATCGAAACGATTCTTCCTCCGTGCGAATTCCAACATGGGAACTCGCTAAGTGCAGTGAAAGAGGGGATTGCAATGCAGCCACTTGCTCGCCTTCCACGCGCGTGTGTAGATCGTACAAAGTCAATCTCAGAGGCTATGCAGCATTGCCCTCACGTAAGGTTGATGTAATTGATCATTCGTATTTACTGTAGAATGTGCATCTATCATATATGGACTATTTATAGGGGAAAAAATCATCGGTTAGCAGTGGTACACAAGAACAAATAACACACACACACACAAAAACTATATTCGTAAATAGCATTGCTCCAGAGAGGAGAAATTATATAACCGGTGACGTTTCAGGTAATGAGCCCTTCGTCGTGAGAGAGACAGCCCATCTCTCCGCTGTGTCGTTGCGCTCCGTCGATATGCAACAAAGGCAACACACTGTGCAGGCTTTTACCACTGCGTATCGAAGCTCCGTCTGAGCTGTCCAGCAACGCGTGGTGACGCATGAGGGTCCGGAGCATCGCACATCGAGCGAAGTTACCCGTGCTTCAACCCTGCACGACAAATGTGATGTGGGGAATAACAACAACAGCAACAGCAGCAGCAACCGTGGAGGCAAACGAGACGCTTAGAGTCAGGAAGCTGGGCGCGACAAGGCACGTTCACGGCAGCCCCTCGTTGCAATTCACAGTACGGTGCCATTAATAATCATCAATCGACTGCCTTGTTTGGCATGTCCTAACTACACTCGTATTTATAGCTCTGTCGCTTCAGGAAAGGGGAGGGGACCTTATTTGTGCGTTGCACGGCTCGCCTAAGCTATTTCAATCATCGCCGCTGCTCTGAATGCGCTGGGTTTTAAACAGGTGTGTGTGTGGTTTAAACAGGTGTGTGTGTGGTTTAAAACAGGTGTGTGTGTGTGGTTTAAAACAGGTGTCTGTGTGTGTGGTCCAAACGCATTCAGCTGCTGCTGATCTCATTAGGCCTCCCCAGCGAATTACGGGAGAGGATGACCACAGCTCCAACGAGTGATGTTGTTGTTGTTGTTTTATAATTTAATAGTCTGTCAATACGATGTTCACGTGCTGTTATTAAACAGACAGCAAGAAAGAGGCACACGTGGAGTAGAGAATGTTCGTGCGTACATATTTCGGTTCACGATATAAATCACGTCTCTTAATAAAGACATACATCACGTCTGTTAATAAACACATAACTCACGTCTGTTAATAACGGTGAGTGGCCTTGGCCAGGGATGATGGCCGATGGTCAACAACAGTGATGGAGTGGTAGCCAGGGAATGGAAGGCATCCGATGGTAACATTTCAAATCTGTGAGATATCTTGGGGAGGTGTGGATCCGCCAGAGAATTGATCATGGCTGATGATGATAAAACAAATAAACGATATCCACAGCGCATTGAGTAAATGTATTATTGAAGCAATAATGAAGGCACAGCTTATTGTTGCTTGATTTGGCATGACATTGGGGAGCTTCGATTGCGTACCTTGGAATCACACCGAGAGACCGAAAGGCGAAGACGTAGATCAAATGACAAGCACAAATCGGGGAGGGACATAATTGGTAATTAATAAACGTAAATTGGCGTGATGAGAGTACGTCGCGAGATTGGGGCCTGATGGACGAGGCTGGTGATGGAATGACGGCCCAAGGAGGGTACGCGTCCGAGCGGACGGGCACAGGGGAGACGCAGCGACGAGCTGAGTTCGCATAGAGCGGTGAGACGAGATGAGTTCGCATGGAGCGGTGAGACGAGATGAGTTCGCATAGAGCGGTGAGACGAGCTGAGTTCGCATAGAGCAGTGAGACGAGATGAGTTCGCATGGAGCGGTGAGACGAGATGAGTTCGCATGGAGCGGTGAGACGAGCTGAGTTCGCATCGAGCGGTGAGACGAGATGAGTTCGCATGGAGCGGTGATGACGAGATGAGTTCGCATCGGAGCTACGAGATGAGTTCGCATGGAGCGGTGAGACGAGATGAGTTCGCATGGAGCGGTGAGACGAGATGAGTTCGCATAGAGCAGTGAGACGAGATGAGTTCGCATCGAGCAGTGAGACGAGATGAGTTCGCATGGAGCGGTGAGACGAGATGAGTTCGCATCGAGCAGTGAGACGAGATGAGTTCGCATGGAGCGGTGAGACGAGCTGAGTTCGCATAGAGCAGTGAGACGAGATGAGTTCGCATGGAGCGGTGAGACGAGATGAGTTCGCATGGAGCGGTGAGACGAGCTGAGTTCGCATCGAGCGGTGAGACGAGATGAGTTCGCATGGAGCGGTGAGACGAGATGAGTTCGCATAGAGCGGTGAGACGAGCTGAGTTCGCATAGAGCGGTGAGACGAGATGAGTTCGCACGGAGCGGTGAGGCGCATGGCGGAAGCACTGGGACCTTGAGGGATGATATTGGTGTGGGGAGGCTTATATCCAGCAGTGGATGGACAAGCGATGATGAGAGTGATTATAAACAATTGAACCTCGGGATTATTTTTGAAGCCAGGCCACTAATACATCCTGACATGGAGTTCTGCTGGGAATGGGAAACACCATCCTTCTATGGCCAACACATTCGCTCTTAACCAATATACACGTCTTGTAATTAACAACAAAGCACGTACCACTCACTCTTCAACAAAATTGCAATTTAATAAATGTGCTGATTTTGCTTCATGATCATCACCAGCCATGTTTAATCTACTGCTGGACGAAGACCCCCCCCCCCCCCCCATGTCGTGGTATAATCTTACGTAGATTTATATAGCACCTTAGTCCAAGGTGCTTTACGATTATTATATAATTGTACGGAAAATGACAGTGGTTAAAACTAAGAGTGGGGTTGTTATTACAAGTGGTGGTGTAGTCATGGTGACAGTTAGGAATAATGGTGGGGATGGTTACGGAGGAGTTGGGGAAGGCTGGTGGTAGTGGTGGTGGTAGGGGTGGTGATAGGTGTGGTGATAGGGGTGGTGATAGGGTTGGTGGTAGGGGTGGTGATAGGGGTGGTGATAGGGGTGGTGATAGGGGTGGTGATAGGGGTGGTGATAGGGGTGGTGATGGGGGTGGTGATGGTGGTAGGGTGGTGGTAGGTGTGGTGATAGGGGTAGGGGTGGTGATAGGGGTGGTGGCAGGGGTGGTGATAGTGGTGGTGATAGGGGTGGTGATAGGGGTGGTGATGGGGGTGGTGATGGGGGTAGGGGTGGTGGTAGGTGTGGTGATAGGGGTAGGGGTGGTGATAGGGTTGGTGGTAGGGGTGGTGATAGGGGTGGTAATAGGGGTGGTGATAGGGGTGGTGATAGGGGTGGTGATAGGGGTGGTGATAAGGGTGGTGATAGGGCTGGTGATAGGGGTAGGGGTGGTGATAGTGGTGGTGATAGAGGTAGGGGTAGTGATAGGGGTGGTGATAGTGGTGGTGATAGGGGTGGTGATAGTGGTGGTGATAGGGGTGGTGATAGGGGTAGGGGTAGTGATAGGGGTGGTGATAGTGGTAGTGATAGGGGTGGTGATAGTGGTGGTGATAGGGGTAGGGGTGGTGATAGGGGTGGTGATAGGGGTAG